CCTCGACGACTCTTCTCCACCTTCAAACTCTCTACTCTCTCCACCCCCACCTCCACCCAGCACCTCACTCACTGCCCTTGAGATTGCCAATCACTTCAAAAACAAGATTGACACAATTCGCAAGGACATCGCTACAACTCACACGCCTCTCAACCCGTCCCCTCTCACACAGCTACCCCCTCATCCCCCCCTCCCCCTCGACATAACCCACAGGGACTTCGTTGCTGCTCAAACTCCCTCCAACCCCGTTCCCCCTCACTCAGCTACCCCCTCATCACCCCTCTCCCACGGCCCCACCACTGCTCTGACCTCCACTTCCACCCCACCCTACATTCCTCATACTGAAGCTCCCCCCACACTCCGCACCTTTGACCTTACTACCAATCGAGGAAGTCTCCAAGATCCTCTCTGATGCCCGCCTCACCACCTGCCCCCCCTCGACCCTATCCCCTCACAACTCCTACGACCTCCCTCCCCCTCCATCCTACGCTCCCTCACCCACATCTTCAATCTCTCCCTCTCCTCCGGCACTTTCCCCTCCCCTCTGAAACATGCACACATCACCTCCATACTTAAAAAGCCCTCCCTGGACCCCAATGACCCAAACAACCTCAGACCCATCTCCCTGCTCCCATTTACATCTAAACTCCTCGAGCGCCTAGTCTACACCCGCCTAAGCTCTCACCTCAACGACAACAACCTCCTCGATCCCCTACAGTCCGACTTCTGTCCCCTACACTCCATCAAAACTGCCTTACTCAAACTCTCCAACGACCTGCTAACCGCCAAAGCTAATGGCCACTATTCAGTGCTCCTACTCCTTGACCTCTCTGCGGCCTTCGACACAGTCGACCACCCCCTCCTCCTCAAAAAACTACACTCGCTCGGTGCCTCCCTCAGAGATTCTGCTCTCTCCTGGCTCTCATCCTACCTGTCACAACGCTCTTTCAGCGTTACCTATAATGCTACCACCTCCCCCTAACTCCCCCTCTCTGTTGGGGTCCCTCAGAACTCTGTCCTCGGGGCCCCTTCTCTTCTCCATCTACACCTTCTCCCTTGGCCAACTCATACACTCTCACAGCTTCAACCACCTCTATGCTGACGACACGCAAATCTATCTCTCAACCCCCCACCTCACCCCCTCGGTCTCCACCCGAATCACACACCTACTGAGCGACATATCTGACTGGATGTCGCTCCACTTCCTTAAACTGAACCTCTCCAAAACCGAGTTTCTTGTCTTCCCCCCAGCCCGGACACCACCCGCCATTGACTTCTCCATCACATCCAACAACGCCACCATCAAACCCGCCCCGCAGGCCAGAGTACTTGGTGTCATTCTGGACTCCAACCTATCCTTCCAGCCCCAAGTCCAATCTTTAACAAACTCGTGCAGACTCCACCTCTGCAACATCGCCAAAATACGCACGTTCCTAACTCCAGAAACCACTAAACAGCTCATCCACTCCCTCATCATATCACGACTCGAGTACTGCAACTCCCTCCTCACTGGCCTGCCTCACCACTGGCTATCCCCGCTTCAGTCGATCCTGAATACGACTGCCAGACTCATTCACCTTTCCAACCTCTCCATCTCCGCCACCCCCCTCTACCAATCCCTCCACTGGCTTCCGATTGCGCAACGGATCAAATTCAAAATCCTAACACTGACGTTTTTTGTATGCAGCCTGTGGGCTTAATGAAAAAAAGAGAAGAAATCTCTGCCAGAAAAAGTGTGTGGTATGCCCACCATTAAAAAATATCGCTCTGCATCCACCCACTTCTAATGGTGGGCACACATTAGGTCGCACGGTGCCACATGCACAAATTCCATGATTGTACAAATGTCTAAATAGTGGCACACTTGAATAAGAATTGTCCACGTATAAGTGGTACCCCATATGGAAAAAGGATGACACCAAGTCCCAAACTATCTTGCCACTGCTCCCCATGTAGTCTGGGCATCCGGGGGTTCCACGTAACTATCTTTTCCATCGTAAATCCGAAACTTATATGTATAGCCTGTTGTCCACTCACAGGTTGTATACATCTTGACCCCATATCTGGCACGCTTGCTGGGGTGAAATTGTTTGAATGCAGAAAAAATTAATGATGGACTCATCAACGCAGATTTTTCGCTGGGGAGTATAGACATCTGCAAATTTTTGGTTAAGGTGATTTACGAGGGGCTGAATTTTGTGGAGTCGGTAAAATTCAGGGTCACCCCGAGGACGACAGAGTGTATTGTTGCTGAAATGCATAAAACACATTATACTCTCACATCTATGCCTGGCCATGGCAGCAGAGAACACGGCATATGATGAATCGGGTCTGTGGACCAATACAACCGCAATTCATTTCTTTTAGTAATGCCCATGATGAGGGTTAAGCCCAAAAAAAATGTAAATTCGGAAACCGTAACGAGTTTCCATGAGAATGGTCTGGCAATGTTTGAATTTTGGTTGGCGGCGATAAACTGTTGTGCATATAAATTGCTTTGATCCACAATCAATATATAAAGATCTTCTGTGAAAAACAGCTCCAAAAATCAAGGGGAATAGTTAAATTTGCTGTTTCCACCTGAATTCCGGGTTGGGCAGTGAATGGGGGAAGTACTGGTGCTGATTCTGCCAACACTGCGGTTTTGTGTGCAATGTATCAAGTGACAGTGACCTACTGACACTGCACTTGCTGGGGGAGAAGGGGAGGGGTAAGCGTAGGGGCTAAACGCAGGTGCTGACAGGTGCCAGGGCTGATCCCGCTAACGCTGCGATTTTGGGGACGCTATAGTAATGTGAACGCTGGTATAGTGCTGATCTGATCAAAGATATTAGGGCGGCACAGTGGCTTAGTGGTTAGCATGTCTGCGTTTCAGTAAATGGGTCATGCGTTCAATTCCTGACCATGGCGACTCCTGCAAGGAATTTGCATGTTCTCCCTGTGCTTGCGTGGGTTTCCTCTGGGTACTCCGGTTTCCTCCCACACTCCAAAGACATGCTGGTAGGTTAATTGGATCCTGTCTAAATTGGCCCTTGTATATGTATGAATGTGAGTTAGGGACCTTAGATTGTACACCCCTTGAGGGTTAGGGACTGATGTGAATGTACAATATATGTGTAAAGTGCTGCATAAATGGATGGTGCTATATAAGTACCTAAAAGAAATAATAAATAAATAAGATATTGATCCATTCAGACAACTATACTAGCAATGGATATGTATTGTGCATGAGCATGTTCCTGGCAATCAAGGGGTTAAATGTGATGACTGGTGTACTGATGGGCAATCTGACGCTATCTGGGAGGGGCGTGAAAACCACAGGAGCACGAATCACATATATACACATGATTTTGCACACCCGTGCCGCCCTGTAGCAGTATTTCTGCTATAGGGGGTGGTCAGGAAGCGGTTAGTATTACTGCGCTGTGTTACTTTAACTGACAATTGCGCAGTCATGCAATGCTGCACCCAAATGAAATTGACCTTTTTTCCCACAAATTGAGCTTTCTTTCGGTGGTATTGGATCGCCTGTGCACTTTTTATTTTTTGTGCTATAAAAAAATAAGGACCGACACGTTTGAAAAAAAAAAAAACAATATTTTGGACTTTTTGCTATAAAACATGCCAATTAAAAAAATTTTAAAAATCAAATTTCTGCATAAATTTCGGCCAAAATGTATTCTGCGACATGTCTTTCCTGAAAAAAAATCCCAATACGTGTAAATTAATTGGTTTACGTGAAAGTTATAGGGTCTACAAATGGCGGGAAAGATACTGGAATTTGTTTTTAATACTAATAATGGCGGCGATCAGCGACTTATAGCGGGACTGCAGCGGACATTCTGACACTGGGGGGGGGGGGAACTGACTTGGGGTCACTGACATACCCAGTGACACCAATACAGTGATCAGTGCAAAAAAAAAAAAAAAGCACTGACACTGTACTAATGTCACTGAGAAGGAAGGGGTTATTATTTTGAAGGCAATCAAAGGGTTAACTGTGTGAGGGGAGTGTTTTACTAGGGGGCGGGAGGTGTGTGCTTCACTGTAAGCACACTGATGGGGAAGGTTGAGCTCATCCATCCTGATCAGTGTGCCCACACTGACAGGGAGGAGAGCTGCATTGTAAACAATGCAGCACTCCTCCCTGTCAGTGTTTGCCGGTAATCACCGGGCTTCGGCGGGTAATCACCGGCCAGGACCCGGTGATTGACACCCGCAGCCACGATTGGCAGTGCGAGTAGAGCGGTCGCACGCGCCCCCCACCCAAGATGCAAGATCACGTATACATGATTTTGCGCAGCGGAGCCGCCCTGCCGTAGTAAAAGTACCGTGGCTGGTCTGCAAGTAGTTAAATATAACAATAATTTATTTTTGTTTGGGTGTTTATTATTATTATTGTTATTAATAATATTAATTTCTTTTTTTTTTTTTTAGGGTTTGGGGTTATTATGTATTAATTATTTATCATGTTTTTTTATTTATATTATATATTTTTAATTTATTCATATATTATTTTTTTTACATTCTTTTATTTGAGCAGTAAATTGCGCTATTGATTTCTATGGGGATAAAAACGCGCCAAGCTGCCCAATTTGAGCTGCAAAGAAAGCTCCGGAGCTTGTCTGAGGTTCAGCCCACTTGGAGTGGAGATGTCAATCATCTCCATTGAGAAGAATTGATTTTTTTCTCCTCCTGTTCTGGAGCTTCAAGCTACAAATCGCTCAGGTGTGAACAGCTCCTGGCTGCCAGGTTGTCACAGCTCTGGGTGTCTCCTCTATAAGGCAGACCCGGTCACCTGACTATCGCCCGCACATGGGCTATGAATCCACGCCCCCTCTATACAGACGTAAGGCGTGCCCCATCATGTGACAAGCAACCTGTCCTGGGCTAGGAATCCACGCCCCCTCTATACAGACGTAAGGCGTTGCCCTATCATGTGACTAGCAACCTGTCCTTGGCTAGGAAACCACGCCCCCTGTTTTCTAACGTTATACGACAACTGTAGGAAGCAGGCTTTGGGCAATTCCCTTGGTAAAGATGGCCGCTCTGGGCGGAGAGGAGGCGGTGACGTGTGGTCAGAGCTGCAGGGGCAGACAGGAGTGAAGATGAGGGATCAGAGGTTACAGAGGGAGACCCACCGCAGGCTGGCCCGGTACAGCAGTGTGAGAGGTACAGAGGGAGGGCTGTATGTACTATCATAGACGGCACACACGTCCTGGAGGATCAGTCTATGGAGGGGATCGTCCTGTGTGTACCTACCTCTGTACAGATCTGCAGGGGGGGGGGGGGGGGGGGGGAGCTTTACTGCTTCAAATCTATGTATAAAGCAGGTGACACCCCCTCCAATCTGATTGTACAGTCTGTATCATGGGAGAGCCACCATACACATTACAATCAGCAACCATGCAATTTGAGGACCTACCTAATCCATCCAATCAGGCCGGTCTCCTTGCAGATCTAAAATAGATTGTACTGTGTATGGTTAGCTTAAGATCCAATCAGACACGCCCACTACTGCATTGTTTTTGGTCCTAGATCTAATGGTGGCCATGCTCATTCCGATATATCATTCATTTCCTTTCCAATCAATTTCTTCCGATCAGAATAATCAATAGTTCATAACGATCGATATGCCACACATTGGGAAGTGGATTGTTAATGGATAGTTAACTCCTTCCTGTGATGGTATCCACAGAAAAACAACTCTGCCGAGAGCGAGCAACCCGATTGTACTGTGTATGGTCAGCTTAACCTCCCTGGCGGTATTCCCGAGTGTAGCTCTGGGGGTAACATTTCAGTACCAAAAGCGGTAACCCCGAGCTACACTCGGGCTTACCCTGCGGCACTGCTCCGGCATTTGTTCTTCACTTACCTTACCCTGCGCTCCCACGATGTGTCCCCTGCAGCGTCCCCGGCCATCTCCTCCGGCCGATGCCGGCATCCGGCTTCTGTGTCCTGTCCCTGTGACGTCGGGACGTACGGGCGCCGGCGGCGGCGGGAAATTTAAACATTTTAAAAAATGTCATTTTTTTTTTTTTACATTTTACATAGTAAAACATTGCTGTCTCAACCAATTTCACATACATTTTGTCCCGAGTGCTTTGTCCTGTGCCCTGCCTGCATTTTGTCTGTTCTTTCTGCCTGGAAACTGAGAAATGTCCATGGCGTCCAAAAAGTGTCCCTTTAGGTCAAAAGCGGTTTAGATCAGCTAGAGAACAGCGATAGTAAATCAGAACCACTTGCAGAATTGAGTGATAATGATTCGTGGGGAAATTCCTCATCAGACACTGAAAACGATTTTGCGACTGAGCTCAGCAATGTGCGAACTTGGCGCTATATTTCACATTTCAGTGTTTTTGGTTTGATTATATTATTGAATTACATTTTTTTATTATTTTTATATTATTTTTATGATTATTTATTAAATTATAATTTATGATTTTGTGTTTCAAATTTTATCCTACCCGGGATGTTTAATAGACTCTTGTTCGGACAGATTTCAGTGAGTTTTTCCTAAAAATTACAGCCTACAATAAAAAAAATACATATTTCCATGCAAAAAAAAATTGGTACCGCTTTCAGCACCAAAAATCTGAAATAATCATACCGCTAGGGAGGTTAAGATCCAATCAGACACGCCCACTACTGCATTAGTTAACTCCTTCCTGTGACGGTATCCACAGAAAAACAACTCTTCTGAGAGCGAGCAATCCGATTGTACTGTGTATGGTGAGCTTAACATCCAATCAGACGCGCCCACTACTGCATTGCTTTTAGTTGTAGATCTAATGGTGGTCATGCACAGTCCGATATATGATTCATTTCCTTTCCAATCGATCTCTTCCGATCACAATGATCGATCAGTAGTTCACAACGATCGACATGCCACACGTTGGGAGGTGGATTGTTAATCGATAGGTAACTCCTTCCCATTGACGCATACCCAAAGAAAAACCGAACTCTGCCGAGGGTGCGCACTGTGCATGCTCCCGACGCAGATACCGACAGTTAACCGCTCCCGATCTTGAGCTTTCCACTCATGTGACAGCCAATAATGGTGGTCATGTGATCAGAAGCCCCGCCTCCTGGCATCTGAACCCTGTTAAAGGGCCGGAAGGCGTTGGCACCAGGGGGTGAAGACTAGGTTCACACCTATGCAGGTTGCGTTTGAGTCGTCTTGCAGCTGCATTTTTTTCCCTTTTTTTTTTTTTTTTTTTTTTTTTTTTTTTTCTTTTGGTTGCTAGGCAGATTTAAAATGCAAAACGTGGCAAAAACGCACTACATGCCTTTCTGCAGCATTTCCATTGAAGTCTATAGAACAAAAAACAAAACTTTTTGCAATCAAAAAAGTCCCTGACCCTTTCCAGAAAACGCACCGTGTGAAAACGCGGCGATGTGATTGTGTCCAATAGGAAATCATTACAGGTACTTATATAGCGCCATCAATTTGCAAGGCACTCTATATGTGTATATACTTCTCAAAAAGATTACAGGAACACTTTGAAAACTTTCATGCCATTCAATGGTATCAATTCCTTCATCCTCCAGGAACTGCCTGTATACTCTCGCCACATGAGGCCGGACATTGTCTGCACCAGGAGGAACCCAGGACCCACTGCACCAGCGTAGGGTCTGACAATGGGTCCAAGGATTTCATCACTGATACCTAATGGCAGTCAGGGTGCCATTGTCTACCCTGTAGAGGTCTGTGCGTCCCCCCATGGATATGCCTCCCCAGACCATCACTGACCCACACTTCAAAACGGTCATGCTGAAGGATGTTACAGGCAGCATAATATTCTCCGCGGCTTCTCCAGACCCTTTCACGTCTGTCACATGTGCTCAGGGTGAACCTGCTCTCTTCTGTGAAAAGGCACAGGGCGCCAGTGGTGGACCTGCCAATTCTGGGTTCAATGGCAAATGCCAATCAAGCTCTATGGTGCTGGGCAGTGAGCATAGGGCCCACTAGAGGACATTGGGCCCTCAGGTCACCCGCATGAAGTCTGTTTCTGATTGTTTGGTCAGAGACATTTACACCAGTGGCCTGCTGGAGGTCATTTTGTAGGGCTCTAGCAGTGCTCATCCTGTTCCTCCTTGCACAAAGGGGCAGATACCGGTCATGTTGATGTGTTAAGGACCTTCTACAGCCCTGTCCAGGTCTCCTAGAGTAACTGCCTGTCTCCCAGCACAGTCTCAAGAACTTGGAGGAGATTCCAGGAGACACAGCAAACCTTCTGGCAATGGCATGTATTGATGTGCCATCCTGGAGGAGTTGGACTGCCTGTGGAACCTCTGTAGGGTCCAGGTATCACCTCATGCTACCAGTAGTGACACTGACCCTAGCCAAATGCAAAACTAGTGCAAAAAAAACAGTCAGAAAAGATGAGTAGGGAAAAAATGTCAGCGGCCTCCACCTATAAAACCATTTCTGTTTTGGGGGTTGTCTCATTGTTGCCCATCTAGTGCACCTGTTGTTAATTTAATTAACACCAAAGCAGCTGAAACTGATGAACAACCCCCTCTGCTACTTACCTGACCAGATCAATATCCCAGGAGTTTCATTGACTTGATGCTATACTCTGATTAAAAAGTGTTCCTTTCATTAAAATATATATATATATAATTTTTTTTTGCAGAGGCCCTAGAGAATAAAATGATGGCTGTTGCAGATTGTTGTGCCACACATTTTTTTTTTAATGCACTTTAATTAATTTTAGTGCACACAAACAATATAACATCCAATATTTTTGGTAAAATATAAAAGATGATGTTATGCTGAGTCTATAGATACCTAACGTGTAACACTTTAAAATAGCAAATAGCCCCTGGAACAGGTCCAAGCTGCAGTACCTAAAAACCTCCATAGGTGTCACTTTGCCTTTACAGGTTACCAGTTTATTGTTACACCAGGGGTGGGCAAACTTTTTGACTTGAGGGCCGCAATGGGTTCATATATTGGACCCGGGGGCCAGACCAAGAGTAGATGAATGATGTGTATGTGTCATCCGTAGTAAGTATAGTAATATTCCCCCATAGTAAGCATAGTAATTCATATAGTAATTAATCCCCCATAGTAATATAGTAATTCATCCCCCATATAGTAATTCATCCCCCATATAGTAATTAATCCCCCATATAGTAATTCATCCCCCATATAGTAATTCATCCCCCCTATAGTAATTCATCCCCCCCCCCTATAGTAATTCATCCCCCCTATAGTAATTCATCCCCCCATCCCTATAGTAATTCATCCCCCTATAGTAATTCCCCCATAGTAATCATCCCCCATATAGTAATTCATCCCCCATATAGTAATTCATCCCCCATACTAATTCATTCCTCTCGCCGTGTTCCCGCGCCGTTCCGGTGTAGCATGAAAATCTGTCTCCTATGAGGATCTGTCCCCCTCGACGTATCTGCGCATGTGCCAGTTTCAGGCATTAGCAGCCGATCGGCGATCTCCGGCACATGCGCAGATACGTCGAGGGGGACAGATCCTCATAGGAGACAGATTTTCATGCTACACCGGTCTTCAGGGCGGACTGTGAGAGGAGCCTAGCTCCCCTCACGTTCGTCACGCTGCCCCGCCTACACACATCCTGACAGCCATCCTGACAGTATCACGCTCCGCGGGCCGGATTAAAAGGTCCGCCGGGCCGTAGTTTGCCCATTGCTGAGTTACACAGAAGGTCTGGAGCTAAATTTATTGCTCTTGCTCTGACGTTGTGATACCTCATCAGCGATTACCGTTTACATATGCATGTGGGACGTCCGTATGCTTTCACGTGTGAGCACGGGGTGCTTGTTTTTTTTAAGTTTTTAAGTAAAACCTTAAAAAAAAAAAAAATTTATTGACTTGAACAACATCCCTTGCATGGGCAATCCATGGTTTGTTAGACTGGTTAGGCACACAGTTAACCCTTTGAACACCCTAGAAGCTTAGTGTCATTAGTACAGTACAGTGTCAGTGCATATTTTTAGCACTGATCACTGTATTAGTGTCACTGGTTCCCATAGAGTGCCAGTTAGTGTCAGATTGCCCACCGAATTTTAACACAGTCCTGCTTTACTTCGCACATCACCGCCATTACTAGTATAAAAAAAAATTTTATATATATATATTTACCATAGTTTGTAGACTATCGTGTTCGTATAAATCAATCAATATACACTTATTGGGATTTATTTTTACCAAAATTATGTTATTGGCTTAAGAAATAAAACATTTTTTTTAATTGGATACTTTTTATAGCTGAAAGTAAAAAATATTATTTGTTTTTTCTTTTTTTTTTTTTTGTTTATGTAATAAAAAATAAAAACCCCATTGGTGATCAAATAATCAAAGAAAGCTGTATTTATGGGGAAAAAATGCTCTAAATTCCGTTTGTGTAGAGCATTGCATGACCGCACCATTGTCAAAGTAACAGTGCAAAAAATGGCCTGGTCATGAAGAGGGCTAAATCTTCCTGGAGGGCACGTGGTTAGGACCCATTTAGGCCACATGCAGCCACTTTGAGGGGGGCTTTTTTTTTTTTTTTTTTTTTTTTTTTTTTTTACTGCTTCCTAACGCTCTTTAAAAGGGTTATACGTATTTTCTGCCAAAGCACTGCCGCCAAGAGGAGGAGCGTTTTAAAAACGTCCTGTGTGCATGAGGCATTAAAGGGAAGGTGGCGGCAAGCGGTTTAATTTGGTTCTAAATGCTGAAGGTTTTTTTTACTTTATTACATTCTATGCATTCGTATAAAAAGCCTTCCACTATTTGTTCCCTCCCTAAACACTTACCTGGGTCCTCTAATATTCCAGCATTGTGCCCTCTTCCTGCTCTCACAGGCTGCCCTGGTAGCAGTCGGATCCATTGGCTGCTGCTGTCAATCAAATCCTTTGAGGGAAAAGTCCTTGGCGGGGCCGAGTCGCACTGTGTGTGTTTATGGATGCACACAGCCCAGCTTAGGAGCAAGCCCACACATGAGCCCCCATAGGAAGTTACTTGCTGTGGGGCACACACAGGGAAGGAGGACCAGAAAAGTCAGCGGGGGACCCCAGAAGAGGAGGTAAGGACACCACTCTGTGCAATATATCTATTACACAAAGCAGGTTAGTATTACTAATGCCTTGGTGCCTCCTGGCACTTTAACACTTTTGCTGCCCTATCCATTTTTTTTTTTTTTTTTATATTTAAAAAAAAGTGAAGGTTCAAGTGGAAGTGAAGTCCACATTGTAAGTTGTACCTACAGGTAAGCCTATAATAAGGATTACCTGTAGGATCAGTGAATATCTCCTAAACTTGCACCGTTTAGGAGATATTCACACAGCATGCAGCCAATGATGTCATGGGCACATGTGCTCTGAAGGGACGGCACAGCGTGCCGGACCTTCAGAGCCCATGCCCAAGCCTAGGGCTCCCACACGTATGTGCAAGAGTGACGTCATCGCGGGCTCAGGCCATTCATACTGCCGGTGCCCACGAACCTGGAAGGAAGACCTGGTGAAGATGGCAGCACCAGGGAGCCTAAACCAATTGGCGATACAAAAAAAGGTCTTTGATGACCTTCCCAGCTGCAGCAGACGCTGTGATTGGCTGTGGCTGACTTCCCCGCAAGCTCAGCTGTCAGTAACAGACTGATAGTCAAATATAAGGGGAATAGCAGTGGGTAATGTTTTTTAGCAATGGCGCCTGGGTAGTAAGGGGTTAACTATGGATCCCACCCAACTGGCGCTTCTGAGTAGTAGACGACGTGCGCCGCGCATAACAAATGAGTACCTGTCATGTCCCCCCCCCCCCTTCAGCAATTACGTTCGCATGTACAGCGCACCAGGAACATTGCAAAGAATAGGTCGTAATTAAGTTTCATCTCAGCACATTGAAATATTCAGTGACAGCTGCTTTAGTCAATTAAAAGAACACGTTTGTATTTTTTTTTTTTTTTTTCCGGCGCCCAGTCTGAAGATTGCCTGACAAGTTTGGATACCAAGGAGGAAGATCTGCGAAATTGGGCGATTGGTAGATTTTAATTAATCTGTTCCTAGCCGCTCTCTCTATCACACGGGTCCCTGGGGAGGCTGGGGCCACAGTGTCAAAATTTGCAACTTCAGCAAATATTACTGTAAATGAGAGCTGAACAGCCACTTGTGATTTGTCATCGAAATCAGATGGTAGAGAAGCGGTGTGTTTGATGGTCGGTGATTCCTGAAATTTGTCCTGGAAGTGACATTTACAGAAAAAAAAATGCTCATAAGAATAATCCAGATTTGAAGCCCAATTGTACCCTCAAGAAAAAAAAAAAAGCTTTTAATTCAGCATTCTGAAATTGTATTAGATGTTCTAGCAGGGGCGTATTTATCACAAGGCAAACAAGGCATTTGCCTAGGGTGGCATTTTTCAGGGGGCAGCAGTATTTTTCGGGGGGCAGTGCTGCCCCCCAAAAGAAGGGATAGAATAAGGGACACACGTAGCATGGGAAGCAGGTGGGATCTTAGAGAGGCTGCAGGCTGCTTGATGGTGTATGTGCGGAGCCTGACTCTTGTTCCTGGGGATGTCTGGGGCTGTGAAGGTGTCTTCTCTCTTGCTGGGGTGGTGGGGGGTTGCCCGTGTATGGGGGGTGGTGGTAGTGAAGGGCTCTCTTGGGTGTGGGGGGGTGGTGGTGCTGGGGTGTTATTGGTCAATGTCAGGCTCTTTTCATGGGGGAGGGGGGTGTGGGTCGGTGTCAGGGTTTCTCATGGGGGGGGGGGGGGGGAGCCGATTTTTGTGTTGCCTAGGGCAGCATGAAACCTAAATACACCGCTGTGTTATAGCAGAACTCCAGGCAGATGTAAAAGATTCATGCAATGCATGTCTGTATTTATTAATAAATCATGGAAGATAAATATAGATATTAATATAGATTGATTTGTGTTTGTTTTTTGGGGGTTTTTTTTTGCAAGGAGTGTACCTGAATTTGACTTTGTATCGGCCTATTGCAGTCACCGTATAGCAGAGATTAGACTGGGAGAAGGAAAAGCCCCACAAGAAGCCAGTCAGTTGTTCTTCAGGCTCATCTGCCATCAAGGGGTATGCTGATAGAAGGTGAAAGGATCAATTCCTGTCTGTAGCCCAAACTGTCCTCGATTATTTTCCCCACCAGGCCTGGGAGAAATAAAGCTCCAGACACTGAAGTGTAAAAGGTAAATCTCTGGAAGTTTAATGCAGGACAAGAACTGTTACACAGAACTCAGTGGGTGCTGCTTCATTTTAGGATGACCGATGAAACATTCCACTCTTATCAGTATAGTTATGTGAAGAACAGAAACTGCAAATAGCTGAGGGATGCCATATAAGGTCACCCTTTATGTCTGGAGGAAAAAAAATGTAATCTCCAAATACAGAAAGGTTTCTTCACAGTGAGAGCTGTGAAAATGTGGAATAGACTCCCTCAAGAGTTGGTTCTGGCAAGCTCAGTGGATTGCTTTGAAAAAGTCCTGGAATTCTTTCTTGGATACACAGAATATAACTGGATATAACATTTATAGGTAAAGTTGATCCAGGGAATATCCAATTGCCTCTCAGGGGATCAGGAAAAATTTTTTTCCAGCAGGAGCAAATTGGATCATGCTTTGCTGGGTTTTTTGGCCTTCCTCCGGATCAGCTGTGGGTATAGAATTATAACTTTTTTTTTTTTTTTTTTTTAATGGTTGAACTGGATGAACTTTTTTGTCTTTTTTCAGCCAGACTAACTACAGTCAGGTCCATATATATTGGGACATCGACACAATTCTAACATTTTTGGCTCTATACACCACCACAATGGATTTGAAATGAAACGAACAAGATGTGCTTTAACTGCAGACTGTCAGCTTTAATTTGAGGGTATTTATATCCAAATCAGGTGAACGGTGTAGGAATTACAACAGTTTGCATATGTGCCTCCCACTTGTTAAGGGACCAAAAGTAATGGGTCAGAATAATATTCATAAATCAAACTTTCACTTTTTAATACTTGGTTGCAAATCCTTTGCAGTCAATTACAGCCTGAAGTCTGGAACGCATAGACATCACCGACGCTGGGTTTCATCCCTGGTGATGCTCTGCCAGGCCTCTACTGCAACTGTCTTCAGTTCCTGCTTGTTCTTGGGGCATTTTCCCTTCAGTTTTGTCTTCAGCAAGTGAAATGCATGCTCAATTCGGATTCAGGTCAGGTGATTGACTTGGCCATTGCATAACATTCCACTTCTTTCCCTTAAAAAACTCTTTGGTTGCTTTTGCAGTATGCTTTGGGTCATTGTCCATCTGCACTGTGAAGCCGTCCAATGAGTTGTGAAGCATTTGGCTGAATATGAACAGATAATATTCCCGAAACACTTCAGAATTCATCCTGCTGCTTTTGTCAGCAGTCACATCATCAATAAATACAAGAGAACCAGTTCCATTGGCAGCCATACATGCCCACGCCATGACACTATCAGGGGCGGACTGACAACTCATGGGGCCCCCGGGCAATAGGAGATCATGGGGCCCCTGTGTCCTTGGAAAAACTCAAAAAAGCCTATGAAAAAGGTACCAGGGGCATCTCATGGGGCCCCCTGCTGACCCCGGGCCCTCGGGCAGTGCCCGAGTTTCCAAATGGTCAGTCCGCCCCTGCTGTAAATGACGATGTGTACATGGACACATAGGAAAACATTAGGGAGAGTTCAGGGGCTGCTGAAACAAAACATTGAACAGCTCCTGAACGTCAGTTAACAGCTGCAGCGTATATGAGCCCTTAGTAGGGGTTCTCTGACACCAGAAAGTGTTTTTTTTTTGTTTTTTTTTTCTTTTTTCAAGGGTTCCTCTGTGTTGAAAAGGTTGAGAATGGCTGCAATAGAGGGATATGCTTTGTTCACATTCCATGTCTGAAGTTTACAAGCACTTTTACTAAATATTTTCTAGAAGTCCTATAGCACGATATGAAGGATCGTTTTATAAATTTGCCAAAATTAAAAGTATTACAATAAAATCGATTAAAAAACCTCTTCTAGTTCCGTGTTATTTAAAACCCCACCGCGCCTCCGCCATCCATTGCGAATAACATTTCTGTTTTCTAATGTCTACAGGTAGAGAAGTGCAGCCTGGGGAATTCTGGGATGTGATTGTCATTACAGCGGCCGACAAACAACAAGAGAGAGCCTATCAGCAGCAGATTGCTGATAAACTAGCCAGAAAAGAACTTCCTCTCGGAGTTCGTTATCACGTTTTCTCTGATCCGCCGGGACCCAAAATAGGTGAGCTCTTCAGCTATTTTTATAATTGGAAGTCTTAAGCCTGAACGCAGCGTGCAGAAGAGCCGAGATTCCATCTGTGGGGCTTTGTGTCTGCCGCCCTGCACCCAGCTCACCAATTAGCGTGTGATCCGAGCCTATAAATATCCCACCATCCCCGAGCCTTATTGTTCGTTAGAGAAACAAACCGGCGTCCCCTCTAATCTTCCCTCCATGACACTCCACTTTCCCAAATCACTGCTCTGTGTACTGTCACTTAATGAACTGTCACCGGGTCTCCTGGCTGTATCAACACGTCAGGTGCTGTGTGTGTTCTCCCCTGACGTCCCCCACACAGAACAATGAAGGAGCTTAGCCAGTCAACTGCCACTGCAAGCACTGTGTGTGCTTAGAGCCTTTACCGAGCCATTACCCTCTACACCCAGCAGATGTATCTCTTTCATATCATAGAGCGCTGTGCCTAGGGTTGCCTCCGCATCTCTTTAAAACTGAACACAATAATTCCACAGGTTCTGTGGCTGCTGACACCCCGGTCACATCGGGTACCATGCCATGCGACTTGTAAATTGTATGCCAAGTCACACCCTATTGCCCGCAGTTAGTGGTCAAATTGGTGCGGTTCCGACTTGGTCGGAGCTGCACCGATTTCCAAAGTAGTACAGGTACCCGATTTCCAAAGTAGTGCACATACCCGGTTTCCAAAGTAGTGCACGTACCCGATTTCCAAAGTAGTACAGGTACCCGATTTCCAAAGTAGTGCGCGTACCCGGTTTCCAAAGTAGTGCGCGTACCCGATTTCCAAAGTAGTGCACATACCCGGTTTCCAAAGTAGTGCACGTACCCGATTTCCAAAGTAGTACAGGTACCCGATTTCCAAAGTAGTGCGCGTACCCGGTTTCCAAAGTAGTGCGCGCCCCGGTTTCCAAAGTAGTGCGCGTCCCCGGTTTCCAAAGTAGTGCGCGTCCCCGGTTTCCAAAGTAGTGCGCGTCCCCGGTTTCCAAAGTAGTGCGCGTCCCCGGTTTCCAAAGTAGTGCGCGTCCCCGGTTTCCAAAGTAGTGCGCGTCCCCGGTTTCCAAGGTAGTGCGCGTCCCCGGTTTCCAAGGTAGTGCGCGTCCCCGGTTTCCAAGGTAGTGCGCGTCCCCGGTTTCCAAGGTAGTGCGCGTCCCCGGTTTCCAAGGTAGTGCGCGTCCCCGGTTTCCAAGGTAGTGCGCGTCCCCGGTTTCCAAGGTAGTGCGCGTCCCCGGTTTCCAAGGTAGTGCGCGTCCCCGGTTTCCAAGGTAGTGCGCGTCCCCGGTTTCCAAGGTAGTGCACGTACCCGGTTTCCAAGGTAGTGCACGTACTACTTTTGGCGCGATTTGCATAGACATTTGTGTCAAATGTCTTGCAAGTCGCACTTGAAATTGGCATCTCACCCAACTTTGAAATCGCGTGACTTCACTGTAAGTCGCACGATTTCAATGTTGAGCTCGATGTGACCGGGTTGTTAAGGTGGTAATTAAAGCGGAGCTCCACCCAAAAGAGGAATTTCCGCTTTAAGCCTTTCTCCCCCGCTTCCCATTAAGGATTGGCACCAAAAGTTAGTCAGTTCCCCCCCAGTGTCAGAATGCCCGCCACAGTCCCGCTATAAGTCGCTGATCGCCGCCATTATTGGTATAAAAAGAATTTAAATTCCAGTGTATATATACCGCCATTTGTGTTATTTATTTCAGGTACTTGTATAGCGCTGTCAATTTACACAGCGCTTTACATATATATTATACATTCACATCAGTCCCTAACCCTCAAGGGGCGTACAATCTAAGGTCCCTAACTCACATTCATACATACACATACTAGGGACAAATTAGACAGGATCCAGTTAACCTACCAGCATGTCTTTGGAGTGTGGGAGGAAACCCATGCAGGCACAGGGAGAACATGCAAACTCCAGGCAGGTGGTGCTGTGGTTGGGATTTGAACCCACACCCCTAGTACTGCCAGGTGGAAGCGCTAACCATTTAGCCACTGTGCTGCCCATATTTAGCCACTGTGCTGCGCATTTGTAGAAGCTATAGCTTTCACGTAAACCAATTAATACACAATTATTGGGATTTTTTTTTTTTAGCAAAGACATTTTGGCTTAAATTTATGAAGAAATTAGATTTTTTTTTTTTTTTTTTTTTACTGGACATGTTTTGTAGCAAAAAGTCAAAAATATTGCTTTTTTATTTTCTCTACAAAATTGTCGGTATTTTTGTTTATAGCACAAAAAATAAAAACAGCAGAGATGATCAAATACCACCAAAAAAAAGCTCTATTTGTTGAAAAAAATAACATAAAATTAATTTATGTACAGCGTTGCATGACTGCGCAATTGTCAGTTAAAGTAACGCAGCACCGTATCGCAAAAAATAGCCTGGTCAGGAAGGGGGGTAATTCCTCTGGAGGGCAAGGGGTTAAAGTGTTACTAAATCCACAACTTGGCCCAGCCCTACTGGGGAAGTGTACATTTATTTCCCACATGGGGTAAGTGTATAACATACAGAATAAGAGGTAGTCCTATGGTTAAAAAAAAAAAGGTGTCGCAAAATTTCTGTTAACACTTCAGCAAAAAGTGACCAGGCTACCCACAAACCAATGAGAGTGCCTCAGTGGCCAGTAACTATTATCATATATTTGTGACCTGATTTTGAGGGGTAGGGGGCAGAGGGGGGTTCGCAGAGCTACAGTTAAAGCAATTGTAAACCCTCACCTTGTAAAACAACCCGTTCTGTTTAAAAGAGAATTGAAAGGCAAACATTCGTGTACAGATAGAAAAAATATAAATTCCTTTTTTTTTTTTTTTTTTTTTTCTCTCCTTTTTTTTTCTTTCTTTTTTTCTTTTTTTCTCTTTTTTCTCTTTTTTTCTCTTTTTTCTCTTTTTTTTTTTTCTTTTTCTCTTTTTTTTTTTTCTTCTTTTTTTCTTTTTTTCTCTTTTTTTCCTTTTTTTTTTTTTTTTTTTTTTTTTCCTTTTTTTTTTTTTCTTTTTTTCTCTTTTTTTTTTCTTTTTTTTTTTTTTTTTTCTCTCTTTTTTTTTTTCCTTTTTCCTTTTTCTCTCCTTTTTTTTTCTCTTTTTTTTTCTCTTTTTTTTTTTTTTTTTTATAAGTGACTTAAGAGCTGGGGGAGGAGAAGGAGAGCAGTATACTGATCTTCCCAGTGAATGGTTGTGCAGGGTGAGTAGTATGTCAAGACTAGTCTGATCATTGGAGGAGAGCGGACTGAGTTCAGTTAGAGAACTGACCATGCTCTGCTCATGCCTAGTGTGGTCAAGTTTTAATAGGAAAGCAGAGGGACTGGCAGGAACACCAGGGATTTCACACACAGGAAGCAATATAAAGAGAACGGGATACGTTTTCATACAAGTACATGGTACAGCAGGCATATATCAGGAATATGAAATGTTGGGTTCACATATTCCTTAAAGCACGTGTATGATATAAGAGGTACCTGTAGAATGCATTTAGATTCCGAATTTTAATTTCTAACCTATTAAAGTTTAAACACTATGCCAGATTGTAATTTTCCATTTTTTTCCCGCAGGGAATGGAGGATCTACATTGTATGCTCTGCGCTGCCTGCATCAGCTGTACCCCGATGAATTGGATTCTTTTACAGTCATGCTAATCCATGCTGGTAGGTTTTGTACAATTACTGATCCTTGATGGGTTTTTTCTGATAATTTCCTCATTAAATAGGTCAAGAAATAATTAGCCAACGCAGGATATGTTTTGAGGTCAATACCTTATCTTCAATAATCTTGCTTTAACTAATTAAACGTGATCGATCCGATGTATATTGAATGGGTCTCACATTGATTTTCAATTATCTGAAAATCCTTGTCTGTGTCAGGAACTTTTTGCTTGCCTGGTGGTGCGTGGCTCAGGCCTTTAATACGTGCCTTATTTTTAAATTTTAAAGTGTTACTAAACCCAGGACCCTGCATTCACTATATCTGGTCTCCCCGGACCCTGCATTCACTATATCTGGTCTCCCCAGACCCTGCATTCACTATATCTGGTCTCCCGGACCCTGCATTCACTATATCTGGTCTCCCGGACCCTGCATTCACTATATCTGGTCTCCCCGAACCCTGCATTCACTATATCCGGTCTCCCCGGACCCTGCATTCACTGTATCGGTCTCCCAGGACCCTGCATTCACTGTATCGGTCTCCCGGACCCTGCATTCACTGTATCCGGTCTCCCCGGACCCTGCATTCACTGTATCCGGTCTCCCCGGACCCTGCATTCACTGTATCCGGTCTCCCCGGACCCTGCATTCACTGTATCCGGTCTCCCCGGACCCTGCATTCACTGTATCCGGTCTCCCCGGACCCTGCATTCACTGTATCCGGTCTCCCCGGACCCTGCATTCACTGTATCCGGTCTCCCCGGACCCCTGCATTCACTGTATCCGCATTCTCCCCGGACCCTGCATTCACTGTATCCGCTCTCCCCGGCCCTGCATTCACTATATCCGCTCTCCCCGGCCCTGCATTCACTATATCCGCTCTCCCCGGACCCTGCATTCACTATATCCGGTCTCCCCGAAGCCTGCATTCACTATATCCGGTCTCCCCGAAGCCTGCATTCACTATATCCGGTCTCCCCGAAGCCTGCATTCACTATATCCGCTCTCCATGGACCCTGCATTCACTATATATCTGCTCTCCCCGGACCCTGCATTCACTATATCCGCTCTCCCCGGACCCCGCATTCACTATATCCGCTCTCCCCGGACCCCGCATTCACTATACCCGCTCTCCCCGGACCCCGCATTCACTATACCCGCTCTCCCCTGACCCCGCATTCACTATACCCGCTCTCCCCGGACCCCGCATTCACTATACCCGCTCTCCCCGGACCCCGCATTCACTATACCCGCTCTCCCGGACCCCGCATTCACTATACCCGCTCTCCCCGGACCCCGCATTCACTATACCCGCTCTCCCCGGACCCCGCATTCACTATATCTGGACTCCATCTGGACTCCCACAGTACACAGAACATGGAAATGCAATTATTTTAGTAAATTTAAACTGCTAAATACCTTTTCTTATCAGTACTTAGAGCAGTCTTGTGACTTCTACCAGTCTCCAGCAGAGCACATGTTAAAACTTGTAGGAGGAGTTTTAATTTTGCTCTAGGAGGATTCAGAACCCCTGACCTCTGTCTGGACAGTGCTGATTGGCCCTGTGCTGGTCACATGCACTCTCCCAAAGAAAAAAAAAAAAACCTCTCTAGCTATACACACCAAACTGAGCTTGTACAGAGTGACTCTACACAATATGTCTTATCAGGAGATAAGAGCGGGACACTGGAAGAAGGGGAGGATCAGAGAAGACAGGATATAACAGCCTTTTTACACAATGCAGAGGATTAACCCCTTAGGTTCCACAGTGAGTATAACAAGCATGCTTTATTGCATATACAGATTGATTGTACTGTTTTGGGTTTAGTAACACTTTAATGATGCACACCAATGCACCAAGAAAATGGGTTGTTTACACTCCATTTACTTATAAGTGGATCTCATTTCTAGCTTGCCGTTTATCGCTTGCTAACTGTCTTGGCAATCTTTCTCAACCTCTGTCCATAAAATCCTAGGGTTCCCCCTGAGGTTACTGGGGTTCTTTGGGCAACCAGCGTCAGTTTGATTTTCCACCTACGCTGACCATCAGTGTCATTTCTGATATGTCCCAATATACAGCAAAAGTATTATTTTTTCCAAAAAGTTTTATCAATAAAAACAGCCATTGGGCTCCATTCTATCTTTGCCCAGGCTGAGATGATGCCTTCAGTCTGCTGCAGGCAGGAGGAAACATTTCCTCAGTCTTCTCTCATCCAGCAATCAGACTGACACTTTTTAAAGGCGAATTTCACCTTTTTCTTTTAAAAAAAAAACATTTAAAAAAAAATGCATATTTTTTTTTTTCGGATAAAAAAAGTGCATTCATTATTTTATTCTAAGGAGCCTGCAGAGCATTGCCCCCATGATCAGCAGACCCCGGGTGCAGTGACAGGCTCCTGCTGACTCAGGATAGCTGTCTGCCTGTACCTTGTATGGGCAGGCAGTTACTTGAGAGCAGGAAGATCAATGAACTACAAGAGCGCTCACCAGCACCCTCGACGTTCACTGAGAAGTATAAGCCATGGTACTTATCCATTCACAGAAACCTGTGAATGAGTGATGGGACCTGTGTGGGCGGAGCCCTTCACTGCTGCGCTGCTTTCAGATTGTGACAGCGGTTGTAGGGAGAGGTTTCCCTGCCCGCTGTCACAGGGAGAGGGTAGATCGGGGGGAGAGAAGATGTAGATGCTAGAACATGAAAAAAAAAATGGGTGGAACATGTTCCAAAGGTGAACTTATCTTTTAACTTTGCAGCAAGTCATAAGGCGAGAGGCTGCAGCAGAGGCTGATCTGTGTCAGACATTTGAGAACACAGCCTTGAACTACACAGACACTGGGATATACATGATAGTGTCATTTCTGCATTGGCATCTCAATCCAATGACCCTGAATGATGCCTGAATAAAGATGGCTCTGTCTTTCTAGAGAGAAAAGCAGATAAAGGCAGTATTGTGAGAGCGCCAATAAATACCTGGAAATGTTGCAAATTACTTGCATATAAAGTAGAATTCCTGAATACACCTAACTAGTCTTAAAGTGGTTCAGAAGGCTGAAAGTGTTTTTTACTTTCATGCATTCTGTGCATGAAGGTAAAAAACCTTTAGTGGACATCTCCCCTTCTGCCTTACTTACCTGAGCCTGCTCTCAATCCAGTGATGTGCAGGAGAGCAGCAAAAAAACATAAATAATATTAAAAAAAAAAAATGTCAAAAAATGTTTTGAAAAATTATAATTTTTAGTTATAAACTAATTTTGGGTAATTTTTTTTTATTTTTTTTTTACTAAAAAGATAGCTGAATACATGTTGGCCAAGATTAATGAAAAATGATTTATTTGCAAAATTTTATAAGAAAAACACTTTTTTTCTCTTTTCAAAATGTTTGGACTTTTTCATTTATATAGCAAAAAAAAAAATAAAAATCCCAGTGGTGAATAAATACCACCAAAATAAAGTTTTATCTGTCTCAAAAAATACGAAAAAATTCATATGGGTACAGTGTTGCATGACCGCGCAATTGTCATTCAAAGTGTGATAGCGCTGAAAGCTGAAAATTACCCTGGGGACAGGAAGGGGGTGAAAGTGTCGGACTGGAAGTGGTTAAAGGACACGTGACTTAAAAACTGCACCAAAAATGCTTCTCAGAGGCTGTTTTTATTAGGCGTTTTTCAGGCATTTTCCATTAATTTCAATGGGAAGAAGCGTTTTTAGGATGTTTTGGGGGGTTTTTTTTTGTTTTTTACTCCCCAGACATGCCCAAAAGATGCTGCAACAGGAGTTCCTACACCACACCGCAAACGCAATGCCTCAGTGTGAAAACATACATAGATATACATTCATATACATAGGGAAGCTTTTTTTTTAACTTTTTAGGCGCTTTTTTTTTTAACACAAAAACGCTTCAAAAACTTCTCAGTGTGAAAGTAGCTGAAGATAAAAAAAAAAACAGTTGTCTGTTAGGTCCATATTACTTTCTGTTGTGCTTTGTGTCATATATGTGAATTACATCAAATTACATCACCGATCTTGTCTCTAAATATCACCCAAACCGTATTCTCCGCTACTCTCTAGCTCCCTTGTCTCCTCCTCCCATGCTCATCTCCAGGACTTCTCAAGAGCTTCCCCCATCCTCTGGAACTCTATACCCCAATTTATCAGACTATCACCTACTCTGCTCTCTTTTAGGCGATCTCTGAAAACCTATCTCTTCAGGGAAGCCTATCCTGCCCTCAGCTAATACTGGAATCTTGTACTCTTCCAACCAGTCCATCCCCCACAGTTACCTTTTGTACCACTAGCCCCTCCCTCCTAGATTGTAAGCTCCCAGGATCAGGGCCCTCCTAACCCTCTTGTATTGAACTGTATTGTTGCTGTATTGTCTCCCTTTATATTGTAAAGCGCTGAGCAAACTGTTGGTGCTATATAAATCCTGTGTAATAATAATAATTCATCAGGGAACACCGGTGCTCAGCTCAGCCTTTACAAGCCACTCTTAATAATACACTGTTCAACAAATTTTTATTTTTTGCCAGTTTTGGAAACAAAAGGATCCATTTCTTAATGAATTTCACATTCTGAGTTCAAATATAACAATGAAATTTGTCATTGGCTCTAGTTTTTCTGTAAACGGAAATTTTTCTACTATAGGCGTAATGACTACATAATGCACTTCTTTCCACAAATATAAAGCAAGTGATATTGACTACATAACAAAGCCTAAATGGCAGAATATATTGCATAGGATTACCAAGAAAAATTATAGCCATAAGCTAAGTTGAATCATTTTAATACTTAGGATTCTCACTAGTTTTGTCTTCAGTTTGTGTCGGTTTTGCTTCTCTTGGCTTTTCTCTTGTATTCGAAAGGGCTATCTCTTACAACTGCACGTGACTACACGCTTCAGGTTCTTCCTCACTTGACTCAACCACGAAGGATTCTGGTGCTTTAGGAATTGGTAGCCCCTCTCCATGAGGAACTGGACGTATTGCCGATGAAATATTTGGATAGTGCACACAGATAACTTTTTCTTCTTATTTAGCCCTTTTACAATTGGAGGCACCATACAAAAGTAACAATTACTCATGAGCTCTCTCCAAATCATTGGCACAGCGGAAAGGCATAGATGCCTTTTTTCCATTCAACCATTGCTCCAGTGCCGTCCCACAAGAATTGCAGCATATATGTGGTGCCCAGCTCTTGTACTGGTCTCCTATCTTGCAGCCAAAATACAAGTTGTAGGCTTTCTTAATCATTCCTGTTATCCTCCTTTTTTGTGAGATAAAAGTTATTTCACCGCAGATATAGCCAGAAATTATCTGCTTTATTCACACAAGTTCGAGGCATTACTGAGTCTATATAAGCAGAAAACGAAATGTAAAGACGCTGTCGAACTACAATCAGCTACAGATACTGCAGCTTTTATGCAGTGAAGTGATGCAATTTAAAGGCTAATATTGCATCATCTCAGTATACATGCAATTTTCTATTGGTCACCAGTATCCGCAATATGCAGCTGAAGTTGCATCATAATTTTGAATGGCTTACGTCATTAGATGGGTGAATATATCCCCAATCAACATTTTTTAGGGTCATTTTCGTTTTCAGCACCCCAAAATTATGTAAGATTAGCTAATTTTATGCCCAAAACACCTGTTGAACAGTGTAATCATCATGACAAACACATGCCAGTACTCCAGTAAAGATCCTTGATATCCCCTTTATTAATCCTTTATTATATCAAATGGCTTAAAAAAAGCTTGACAGGTACATCGACGCATTTTGGAGTGGCTGAAATGCGTCAGTTAACTGTCAAGCTGGTCTTCCTTTATATTGTAAAGCGCTGAGCAAACTGTTGGCGCGATATAAATCCTGTATAATAATAATATATGATTTGTATTTCTTCTTTAGGTGGCTACAGCCAGCGGTTGCCCCATGCCAGCGCCTTGGGGAAGATCTTCACAGCCGTACCCTTCGGTGACCCCGTTTATCAAATGATCGACCTAAAATTGGCTATTTACATCGACTTCCCCTCCAACATGAAACCGGGTGTCCTGGTGACTTGCGCCGACGACATCGAACTTTATTCAAGCCAGGAGACGGCGGTTACATTCGACAGGCCTGGCATCACTGCCCTAGCTCACCCATCTACGCTGGCTATAGGCACCACTCACGGGGTGTTTGTGTTGAAAAATCCGACGAAGAATTTAGCGAGCTGCAGATTCAATCCTGTAAATCCTACCTTCACAAGCCCTCTGTGGAGAAAATGCGCCAATCGGGCGCCGTCACCCCTCACCCGAGTACGGCAAGCCAGGACACCAATCCCCTGCTCAGAAATCGTCTATACCGACAGCCTGTTTTATATGGATCACCCGACGGCAAAACTTCTCCTGGGTTTCTTTGAAGAGTCGGGCGGCGTGCAGTGCGAGATCGACGCGTACGGGGACTTTCTGCAGGCTTTGGGGCCCGACGCCACGCTAGACTACACAGAGAACACCGCCAACGTCTCCAATGTAGAATCACAGCTGACTGATGTGCGGAGGAAGATCTACTTCCTATTGAGGGCAACAGACTTCACCGTCGTCCTTTTAAACAATTCGAAATTCTATCACATCGGGACCTTGCAGGAATACTTACATCACTTTACTTCTGATGCCCAGCTCCGGGCAGAACTAGGATTACAGGCGAACGTTTTCAGCATCGTCCCAGATCAAGATGTGCATAAAAAGGCCTGTGTCATTCAAAGCGTATTAGACGCTCAGTGCCGTGTCTCAGCTCACACGGTGATTGAATATTCCAGGCTGGGGCCCGGCGTCTCCGTAGGGGAATCCTGTATCATCAGCGGCTCATGCATAAGCATCAGATCAGCCATACCCGACAAATCTTTTGTGAGTTCATTAAGCCTGGTGATTGATGGCCGGCTAATGTATGCGACAATCCTGTTCGGGACCGAGGACGACTTGAAAAGGAGCGCGGCTTCGTTGTCGGATCTGAACGCGCTTCAGATATTCGGCAAGAGTCTTCCGCGGTGCTTGGAGCTCTGGGGCATTCCAGTTTCAGAAAAGCTTTTTTCCGGCGACCGAAAGAGTTTTGTGGAGCGTCCGTCTCTTCCCGGTGTACGAAACTTTACAAGAGTCTGTCGAGGCGTCTCTGGCGATGCTCACCGCCGCGTCCAGCCAGTCGCAAGTGCGTTTGGGAGATGCGGAGAGGCTGTCGATTGAAGAGATGCTGAAATGCAAGAACGTCGAAGAGATGTTGAACTTTAGAAATCTCCTTTATAGGGAAATCTGTGCTCACAGAGAAAGCAAAATGTAGATTTTCGGGAGGGTATTATTCATTATTTTTATTATACAGGATTTATATCGCGCCAGTTTGCTCAGCGCTTTACAATATACCGGGGACAGAGCAACAATACAGTTCAATACAAGAGGGTTAGGAGGGCCCTGATCCTGGGAGCTTACAATCTAAGAAGGAGGGGGATAGTGGTACAAGAGGTAATAACTGTGGGGGACTGGTTGAAGATAGAAGATTCCAGTATTAGCTGAGCGCAGGATAGGCTTCCCTGAAGAGATAGGTTTTCAGAGAGCCTAAAAGTGAGCAGAGTAGGCGATAGTCTGATAAATTGGGGTAGAGAGTTCCAGAGGATGAGGAAAGCTCTGGAGAAGTCCTGGAGATGAGCATGGGAGGAGGCGACAAGGGAGCTAGAAAGTAGGAGGTCGTGCGGAGAGCAGAGAGTACGGTTTGGGTGATATTTGGAGACAAGATTGGTGATGTAATTTGGGGCAGAGTTATAAATGGCTTTATATGTTATTGTTAATGTTTTGAATTTTATCCGTTGGGCAATGGGAAGCCAGTGGAGGGATTGGCAGAGAGGGGTGGCAGATACAGAACGGTTAGTAAGGTGGATGAGTCTGGCAGCAGCGTTCATGATAGACTGAAGAGGGGATAGCCTGCGATGAGGTCGGCCAATGAGGAGGAAGTTACAATAGTCAAGGCGAGAGATAACAAGGGAGGAATAAGTTGCTTAGTGGTTTCCGGGGTTAGGAACGGCCGTATCTTGGAGATGTTGCGGAGGTGAAGTCTACAAGATTTGGACAGTGATTGGATTTGGGGTATGTTTGGAACCAGTTTTTATAGCGGCAACATTTTAAAGGGTCAATCCACCCAAAACGAGATTTGGTGGAGCATGGGTCACATATTGGCTTTGGAGGACTGCAGTGGTGAGATTTCCCTGTATCAGCTCCAGGCTCTGTTCCTACCTAACTAAGCTCCGTTCAACATGAGCCTTCTGCCTTTTACCATAGTCCCATGGTGCCCAACCTGTGACCAGGGGCCACATGCGGCCCTTTAACCTCCCTAGCAGTCTGATTATGTCCATATTTCTGTGCTCAAAGCGGTACATTTTTTTTGCATGGAAATATGTAGTTTTTTTATTGTAGGCCTGTAATTTTTAGGAATAACTCACTGAAATCTGTCCGATCAAGAGTCTAGTAAACATCCCGGGTAGGATAAAATTTGAAAACAAAATTATAAGTTATAATATAATAAATAATCATAAAAAATAATAATATAATAATAATAAATTTAATTCAATAATATAATCAAACCAAAAACACTGAAATTTGAAATTTAGCGCCAAGTTCACATCACTGAGCAAAGTCACAGAATCGTTTTCAGTGTCTGATGATGAATTTCCCCACCAATCATTATCACTCAATTCTGCAAGTGGTTCTAATTTACTATCGCTGTTCTCTAGTTGGTCTAAAACTGATTTTGACCTAAAGGGACGCTTTTTGGACGCCATGGACTTTTCTCAGTTTCCAGGCAGAAAGAACAGTAAAGAATGCAGGCAGGGCGCTGGACAAAGCACTCGGGACACAATGTATGTGAAATGGTTTGATACAGAAATGTTTTTACTATGAGATTTTAGTGAATGTCACTTTTAAAATTTTCAAATTTCCCGCCACTCCGTCCCGGCATCACAGGGAACGGAACCCGGAAGACAGATGCCGGCATCGGCCGGAGGACATTGCTGGGGACACTGCAGGGGGGACATCGCGGGAGCGCAGGACAAGGTAAGTGAAGAAGAGATCCCGGAGCAACGCTGCAGTGTATTCCCGAGTGTAGCTCGGGGTTACCGCTTGTGGTGCTGAAACTTTACCCCGAGCTACACTCAGGAATACCGCCAGGGAGGTTAATATATGATGTGTGGCCCTTGGACCTCCCGCAAAGCCTGTAATGGGAACATTGATTAGGGTAATAGCAATAATCTCTGGTAGCCTCATAGAACACGTTCCCAGCTCTGTATTGTCTTCTGCATCGTATCCCCAGCCTAAAATGTATCCTGTCCTCACTCTCTGACCCTCATTTCCTCTATTAGGTCTGCAGTCTCTGACGGTCCTCACAAGCATTCTATAATGTGCGGCCCTTTGATGTCAGGGGCAGCATTTGAGGCTCCCCTTAACTCATAGATTGACAATCGCTGCCCTAGTCCGTTCCACCCCAGCATTTTTTTTCAACCTTAATGCATAATAAATGTAAGCATTGTAAGTACCTGAATTTTTGGTATCCATTTCTTGAAGTCTACTCTACAGCAGAGCTCAGACTGAGAAAGGGAGAAGCAGCATAAGAAGCCAACCAGTTTTTCTCCAGTGGTCATTTGCTAACGAGGAACATGCTGATAGTAGGAGCGAGCAGAGAGATGAACTCATTGATGCTAGTAAGGAACGTACTGATAGGAGGAGAGGAGAGTGACAAAGAGGTGAGCTCATCAGTGCTAGCAAGGAACTTACTGATAGGAGGAGAGGAGAGTGACAAAGAGGTGAGCTCATCAGTGTTGGTAAGGAATTTACTGACAGGAGGAGAGAGCAGAGTGACAGAGGTGAGGTCATCAGTGCTAGTAAGGAACTTACTGATGAAGGAGAGTGACTGAGCTCATCAGTGTTAGTAAGGAACTTAATGACAGAAGGAGAGAGAGAGTGACAGAGGTGAGCTCATCAGTGTTAGTAAGGGAACTGAGCTACTGTTAGTAAGGAACTTACTGATAGGAGGAGAGAGCAGAGTGACAGAGGTGAGGTCATCAGTGTTGGTAAGGAACTTACTGATAGGAAGAGAGAGCAGAGTGACAGGTGAGCTCATCAGTGCTAGAAAGTTTCGGGCCCCTTTCACATGTGGTCGGACCGATCATCTCCGCCTTTCCTTTTTTCAGGCAGACCCAATCGGACCATCCATTGCCCTCTATGGACCAGCGATGTAAATTGTCCGTTTACACCCGCCTGCATCTGATCTGCTAAAACCGGATGGATGGGGATCCATTCCCTTTCCCTCTTGTGGATCGGATGACAGTCGGATGTAAACAGACAGGCGGTCTGTTTACATCTGATCTCCCATAGAGGAAAGCAGGCTGTGTCTGCTCTGTATAAGCCGAGCAGACACGGACTTGTCATCTGCGCCCGCTCAGCAGCGATTGGTGGACAGATCCTCTGCTGGGCAGGCGGATCCGCTGGTGGAGTCTGCCTGTGTGAAAGACGCCTCATGCCGATGAAAGAAGGAGAGAGCAAAGTAACAGAAAGATGAGCACATCATTCTGCCGCTTCTCTTTCGCTGTCCAGTCTTAGGCTGGGGGAAGGACAAGACTTGTAAGTGTTAACCACAGCAGAGAAAAATCAGATATCCAGTCCTGCCAGACAGGGCTGTGCTGATTGACAGAGCTGTGCAATTCTCAGGGCTGGATGTACAAACATACATACAGCAATGTATTTCTTCAGTGTATTTAGCTGTTTGTCTGGAGTTCTTCTTTAATTTAGAGGCTCACAACCCCAGCTACATGTGCCCCAGGGGTTCTTCTGAGAAGAGAATATTGAGCTTCCTTTCATCTTCAAATGACATTTTCAGGAAAAACGTAGCAATCAAACCGAACTGGATCTATTTGACCCAATGAAAACCATGGGAGGTGGCATAGAAAACTTTTATAGAGATATAAGAGGTAGAGATAATTAATGTATACACTAGAGGGGGTATAGAGATAACTACCATCATATCAGCGGGTACTTGGAATCCATCTGCTTCTACATGGGGGGGCCGGGTATTAGAGTTCCGAGCAATGGCGGGTTAACTCTTTCTTGGAGGCTTTTGTTATCAAATATACTTTTTTAGTGTGCTCCCTCTGCAACCGGCCAGCAGATGCTCGATTGATTGCTGGACGAACCATCTACGGTTCACTGAGAAGCAGCTGAGTCGTCTATTAAAGTGGAAGAGTCAATCAGCATTGACTATTTTTAATTCTTTTGCTGCCAGAATTAGTAAATAGTTGGGAATGTATTTATTTGTTTTAAATTTTTTTTTTCCCCATTTTTTCTGTTACTTCCTGGTTTCTTGCCTAGGAAAATTATGTCATACATCTCAGGAGTCTTCTGGAGAGGGGGTGGGGTTACTCAGCCAAACACACCCTCCTGCTTGTATGCCTGAACTAAGGGCAGATGGATTCTAGAAAGTTAATGTTACATGAATCATCTTTCCTTACTCAAGATGGCCATGACCAGAAATGCCAGGGGGTGTTTTTCAAAGTGATTTCTCTGCAAAATACAGCATGGAGACATGGATGGATGGGGGAGTTTGCTTTGAATGTCAGAAATGAATTAAATCGCATTTTTGGTTTGTGGTGCTCATATGCCGTGCAGTTCCAATTGAACGTTAAGCAATGTCTTACCCAGGGGTGGACTGGCAACTCATGGGGCCCCCGGGCAATAGGGGATCATGGGGCCCCTGTGTCCTTGCCCAAACTCAAAAAAGCCTATGAAAAAGGTACCAAGGGGCATCTCATGGGGCCCCCTGCTGACCCCAGGCCCTCAGGCAGTGCCCGATTTTTCAAATGGTCAGTCCGCCCCTGGTCTTACCCCAGGTTCACACCTAAGCATTTTCCACAGCGTTTTGCAGAAACACAATACAGTCCAGTTAATATGATTTCCTATGGGACACGCTCACATCTCTGCGTTTTCACCCGGTCCCCTTTTTTTTTTTTTTTTTTTTTTTTAAAGGTCAGGGACTTTTTTTAGTGAATGTTTTTGGTTCTATAGACTTCAATGGAAACGCTGCAGAAAAGCATGTAGTGCGTTTTTGCTGCTTTTTTTTATACGTTTTTTGTGTTCTAAATCTGCCTAGCAACAAGAAAAAAAATGGGAAAAAAAAAAAAAACAAGAACTCGGCAAAAGCGCAATGCAGAGACGGCTCAAACGCAACCTGCATAGGTGTGAACCTAGCCTTAAAGCTGAGCTCCACCCAAAAGGGGAAGTTCCGCTTTAAGGACTGCTCCCCAT